GAGCGGTTGACGGTTGCTAGGTGACGGGGCGCCTATACTGAATTTTAACCAAAAGACGGGCAAAGAGGGAGAGTGTGTGTGAGAGGGGAGAGAGAAGTGAGAGAGTAGGGGGGGAGAGAGAGAGAGAGAGAGAGAGAGAGAGAGAGAGAGAGAGAGATCCGAGGATACACGTAGATCATATATGTATGTTTTGAGAGATATTTTCCCCGGCATTTCTCTGCGTGTGTGTGTGAGTGTGTGTGCGTGCGTGAGTGAGTGAGTGAGTGTGTGCGAGGCGCCCAGGGGGTGGGGGGGGACACGCGCGCGCTCACACACACACACACACACACACACACACACACACACACACACACACACACACGCGCAAAAACGGATACCTCAAAACGGAAGGATGTGAAAAAGGATGGAGGGACGCACGGAAAGAGGGGGGAAAGGCTGGTGAAAAACAGTAAGTGCATTTATTTTCATCATCTTTGCAGTGCTCACACACACATGCGCGCGCACGCACACACGTACGTACACGCACGCGCGCGCATATATCGGATTAATTGTGACTGGGAAAGAAGTCGCGTCATTGACGCCGGAGGAGGAGGTGGACAAGGCGGGGGTAACGCGGAGCTGGTTGTCGGCATGTTCGACGGCCGGGGGGGGCGGCGAGGTGCATGCGGCTAGCGCATTTGACCCTTCTGTCATTGGTGCGCCTGCAAAAAGTCACCAGCCGCATGTTGCGCCTGGCACGCTCGCCGGCATTCCGTTGAGTCATGAGCAAAAATCTTTGGAGCGGTGGCATGAGAGCGATTTGTTTGCAAGGAATTTCACTCTGGCGAGTTTGCGCTCCGTCGCCAAGTGCTCAAACACCGGCGCGCCGCGGCACCGCTGCGGATGCGCGATCATATCTGTTGATGCTCATTTTCTCCTCGCCTGCCGTGCGCTCCCAGTTTTGGGTTTGCGTGCCTGCCGCAAGATCGCCCCGTTCGTCCCGACGATCGTGGCGGGATGATTTGGGCGCGAAGGGAGACAAACCAGCCGGCCGCCACCGTTTGCGGTCGGACTCCGCCAGGCAGACGCGGCGGCTCGTTTGGGGGCTTTGGCTTTTTTTTTTTTTTTTTTTTTTTTTCCCAACGCCCACGGGAGGGAGAAGGAGTTGGTCTGCGGGCTCCCATGCCAACTTTTGTTTGCGCCTTGCGGTGCACGGCGCTTGAGGTGAAAAACAAACCGCCACCATGATCGGCAGCATCAGCGTGAGCTCTGCTACGGTCCGCCCTCATCAGTCTGTGGCCTCCGAGGTCTGCAGAGACCGCCGAGGCTGAAGTTGAGGCCGCCGACCACGAGCGAGCCCGCATGAGTGTCGTTTTATTTCATTATTTCTTGGCAGATTTGCTGCAGTAACCGAGAGTGTCAGAGCAAGTCAGACCCACCGCGATCGCCTTCGTGCAGCTGCAAATTGGCAACCAACGCGTTGTTTCGCGTTGTTTTCGCCCACCCCCTCCGTTTCTGCTAATTAGCTGCTCTCCCATTTCGATCGGCCCCTTCGCACCCACAGGTGAGCGATGCCCGCTCGTCATCTGCACGCAGGCGCAGCGCCTCCGCTGCTTTGCGCCTCTGGCGGCGAAGTGGCGCTTTTTGGCTGCGGGCTCAAACCCCCACGCGGTTTACGTACAGTTGCCCCGGAAGAAAGTCGTGCGTGCGTGCGTTGACGGAGCTTTGCTTTGCAGAGGAAGGCAGAGGTGCTGGTGGTGACAGCGGGTGTGGAGGCCGGCGTGACGGGAGGTGCGAGGAGGTGAAGAGAAGGCACAGGGCAGATGGGGAGGGATGAGTAAAAGCAGCAGAAAGGGGGGAAGGCTGGTGGCAAGTTGAGCAGTTACGAGAATAAAGTCGTCAAGTCGTTCCTATATGGAACGTGCATCTGTCTGCCATTTTTCAACTGTTTTTTTTTTTTTTCTTCTGATGCGTGCAAATATGCGAGCGCACTTCAGACCCCCCCAACCACTAGATGGCAGCACCAAATTTCACAACGTCCGGTCCACATGAATTCACGGCGGTTTCCTTGAAATGGAGGAAGAAAAACAGTTGGAGACAGCAATGCGCCACGACGCTGTTTGCCGACCACCCATTGACGCCGCAGAAGACGAACAGGAAAAGTTCAATCGGTCGTGACTTTGGCTGGCCTTTTCCCAGTTTGCTGCTTCTGTGGAGAACAAATCATTAGTGTGTGTTCATATTAGACTTCAAACAATCAGGATTTTTTTTTTTTTTGGCCAATCAGCAGTCAGCAAGTTTTGGGAAAAAAAAAAAAGATCAATGAGCGGATTAGGAAATAGCGCACATATCTGTTTGAATAACTTATTCATTGCATATGCTGTTAATTAGTCTTTCAAGAAACCAAAATGAGTGATCTTTCTATGCGCCTGCGCTAGTCTCAAGACGGCATTCTAATGACGATTGTGTTTGTGGAATATGAGTTAAGCAGCAAAACATACCGGTTTTTGTTTTTTGTCCATCAAAGGGGGCGGCCATTTTGCCACATGGCTTGCAACACTGGTACAATGTTACCGCCGTATTTGGCATCTTGGTGCAAGTATGTGCTCAAGCTCGTCATCGTAATTAGTCTTGTTTGAAGCAAATATGGTGAAGCCGCCGTTTGCCGATATGCTGCACAGATGCGAAGTCAGCCCCCGGCCGAGTGTAAATGCTTTTCAATCCAGACTAAAAACTGCGCGATCTAACATGAGACGATAGCATCCTCTCCCCCCCAACGGCGATCTTCAGCACGGCAGTCACGAAGGTGAAGCTCATTAGCATACAGCATCAATTAGTCTTGAACGAGATCGCAGGTTGTTGCTTTAGTGCGATTACGGTGCCGGCAGCCCGTGATACGGGTGTTCCTCTCGGCGTTAAGAGTTGCCTTGATGAAGCGCTTCTATATTCACTTTGTTGATGTCTGACAGCCGTCGCAGAGGTTATCGGGATATGAACCGGGCCTGCTAGCAATTGCCTCCGACAGGGCAAACTCTGCAGATGGTGCACGCCATTTATTATGATTACAAACTTCAGTTCAAATTCCCGATGGGGAATATGCCGACTTTATGAGGTGTCAGATATTACCCCCCCCAAAAAAAAAAGTATATTTTTGAGAAAGATGGTGTCTCGAGTTTACAGCTTCTAGCTTCATAATATGACGTCATGTTTTGTTATAATTCTCCTTTGACTTGCTAATGCTCTCTCAAAAAAAAAAAAAAAATGTAAGCAATTGGATGAGGGGGTTCCCAGTTTTCCCGCTATATATTTGTCGCATTTAGCTCTGGCAATAATTCTTTTCATTTGCAGTGCTTGAAAAAGTGATTTAACCATCTGCCTTTGACTGTTGGTGTCCCAGTAGGCACCGTCAAGTGCTTCCATGTGGACTCTCGCAATTTCAGCGAGCTTGCGGCGTTTTACCAATTTTGAGGAACTTCAAACTGAATCGATCTCCTCATTCTCATGAGAAATTAAACATTCAAACGCTAAAAACATTTTTGCTTTTCCAGAATGCAAGTAACTATAATCCCCCCCACCCCACCCCAAATAATATCCTTGACTATTTTCACGGAACACATTTTTAATTGAATAAGCAGAGAGAAAACCTACGCGAGCGCAAGCAAAAGGTAAAGCTGAGTTCCGTTCCCGGGACGACTCCAGGCTCTGAAGACGTTAATTTATTTTTTTTTTTTTGCCTCGGTGGCTAGTGCTTGCGGTGCCCTAAACAGATGCTTAGTCCACTTAGACGCTGGGTCGGCTTTGCTCCCACATTGATCCAAACTAGTGCAGCCCCGATGTGTTCGTAACCTTCATGACAGCTCATCAAGTGACTTGGCTCCGATACATCATAGCCCTCCGTTAGCTTGTTGTGCTCGTTTGCTTCCTTGTTCAGCCTCCATTGCTTCGATCGATTTTTCTTCTTAGCAAGCCAAGTTAATTAGTCGTAATGGAGCAAACTCACGTGAATGAACACATCCAAGAAGCATCTGCAGTGTGTGTGCGCAAGCTCAGCAAAGTTAGCATCAAAGTAGCGGCTGTCACGTGAGCCCCCCCCCCCCCACTCCCCCTCCACTGGGCTAGCCCAACATCAACATGCGGCTCGGAGCATTGGACTGCCAAAAGCAGATCTTCTAGAACCAATTGTGTTCCGATCACAAGCAGAAGTCGTCGCCGGGCCTTTCAGCTCATCACGGGCTTGATAACCAGACTGAAACGATCTCTCTCTTCTCTGTTATTCTTTCCACTCCGCGTTGGCCGCCATCATTCACCAGCTCAGCGACGTCTCCGGGCTCCCATCATCCTCACCCGTCTCCTCCCGTCCTCCCATGCCTCCTAAATTCATCAGAGCGCTTCCTAAGGCGATCGCCTTCCTGTCCCTGACGTTTGTTCCTCAGATTTGCGTTAAAATATTCATTGCGCTTCAAATTTCTCATATCTCTTGCCTCCTTATTAAGTTCTTGGATTACAATACCGAGAAGTGTCATATAAGTGGATCTAAAAAGTCCACACACCACCGTTCTAAGACCAGATTTTTGCGAATTGAGAAAATGAGACCAAGGTAAATCATTTAAAATGTTTTGCCACCACTAATGGAACGAAAGCAGAAATGGCTTTTTTGTTTGTTTGTTTGTCTCATCAGAACACTGAAGGTTTTGTGCAATCGCTGTCTGGGATTTGGAACAGTACCTAATTCCCTCCACCTTTGACTAAAATCTGAAAAAAATCATGCTGCGGTCACCTCCCTTTTGGAATTATGGCTGATTTAACCCTTTAATGCACCCTGTAACCTGATAACATGATAAGCTGTCCACTGTAGTAACCGCTGTCCCTGAAAGGGTTTAAAAAAAAAAAAAAAAAAAATCAACCCTTGAATAAAATTGTGAAAAAAAAGAATCTCCTGAATGCAAAAATGAGTTGATGAAAGGGAACTCAAAAAAAGTTGGGGGGGGAGAAAAAAACTGAGAACAGTTGAAATTCATTTCGGGTTAATCAGACTTTAAATGGTCGTAAGCGTGTTGGCCTGAAGGCTATTGTTAATTCTTTTTTTTTTTTTTTTTTTATAAATGAAATTTCTCCCTTAAAACGGTCTCTCTTTTATGTTCAGCATAGGAAGTAAAACCTAAATACCTGCGTTTGTTTAACTTTTTAAAGTGTTTTTGAAATAGCCGTATAAATACGGGGGCTCACAGTGCTTTACATTTCCTACGAATCAAAATAACTAATGCGCAACTGCATTAATACTTGGCGAGATTTTTGTAAAGGCTGGCTTGTAATAATAGCTTGTATTTTATATCATTTTATTTTACGTTGCAAAAAAAAAAAAAGTGAGCAACGGCTAAGGGCTACTAACCCTTGGCAACAGTATGCTCACAATAGGACCGGATGAGGCCCGACAAGAGCTGAGCCAGAACTTATTTGAACGTTTCAACA